GAATTACTCGCGTGGAACAAGATTTCTTTGTTCCAAACCATTTTTTTTTTAACCCACAAGCTCACGCACCTGAACCATCCACCTTGTATGCGAACGACACCAGGACCCCGAACTCCACTTTCTCTTTGTAACCAGGTACAGGCAACAGAGTCCTGCCAGTGAGCTCCTTCTTATCCACCTGCAAACCAATCAGAGGATTTAATCAAGAGAGGACACCATGGTCAGCACTGACTGTTTGAATCTGTCCGTTACAGTCTGCTTACAGGGTTAATGAAGTAGGGCTTCGTAGATTCGATATGAATACTAAAATTATACTTTTATCACCCTAATTCTAAAATTATTATAACATATTTTGCACCTTGATGTGACTTCAAGAGTCAAGAGTTGAACAGTTTGTTTTTTTCGATAGATCATCATCTATCTAGATAAACAGGTAAGACTGATTGATATTTAACTAAAATGCTTAAATCAGAGAGTAAAGTAAATAACTTGCCTCTATGTCAGAGATGGCAGAGTTCAGTGAGCAGGACCAGTTCACCAGCCTCTTGCTCCTATAGATCACATTCTCTTCATGCATGCGAATAAAAGCCTCTTGGACGGCATAGGAAAGTTTCTGGAGGTAGAAGAAAAACGGTTAAGACGTGAGAACAAGAAATAATTCTTTTAAATGTTATTAATATAGGTTTAGGGATTTCAGAGAAAAAAAACTCACAGAGTCCATGGTGAAGCAGGCTCGGTCCCAGTCCAAAGAGGAGCCAAGTTTCTTCAGCTGGTGGTAGATACGGTCTCCTTTTCTAAAAAGGCAAAACAGTCATGTTTGATTTTCATTTTTATTCCAATATTGTCCACACATTCTGAGGTTTCAACTCTTCCTCAACTCACTCATTCTTCCACTTCCAGACTTCCTCGATGAAGTTTTCCCTGCCCAGGTCATGGCGGCTCATACCCCTCTCTCTCATCAGCTTTTTTTCTACCACCACCTGGGTGGCGATGCCAGCGTGATCACAGCCCGGGTTCCACAGGGTGGTCTCGCCTCGCATCCTGTGCCTGGAGAATTTCAAACATGCCGTCAACAAACACAAGAGTCTTATTAAATACATGACTATTTTAAGGCTACTGCCAACAGTCCATCTGCGGCTACCATCTGGTGAGACTGTCCTGAATGGCGTTGGTGAGGGCGTGACCCAGGTGAAGTGAACCAGTCACGTTAGGTGGAGGGATACACATCATGAAGACGCCACGAGGATTCTGCTCACTAATGCTCTTCCTCTGCAGAATATAGAATGAGAGAGAAACGCGGTTATCAATGAAAAATGTGACATTATTTTACTGTAGAGACAGAGGGGGGAGGACTTTCTTACCCCATACTCAGGTTTGAAGAATCCCTGCTTCTCCCACCATGGATACCAGGCAGCCTCCACATACTGAGGACTGTAGGCGTCAGGAAGGGGGCTAACGACATCTGACACCAGCAAAGAAAAAGAGAGGGGTTGGAAAAAGGGCCTGGAGCTAATTGTGATAACTGCATTCTGCTTATTATACATTTTATGACATGTTGTGTTAACTTTTCGCAGCCCTCTAAAACAATTATCTACTCCTGAGTCTTCAGGAGTCTGTAAGAAATCTATTTGTGCAATCATCTGCACAGCAGCTCTCTTAGAAGTTAATGTCTTTTAGAGGCTGAATGCTCCTTTTTTCCAGTCGATATAGTGACCACAGCAGCTTCCCTCTGCAGTGATGCTGAGTGTATACCTCTATTACATAGAATCCCACCTTCCCATTGAGATTAATCACCTTTTTTCTCCCCGGAAGGAGTGGGGACATTGTATGTGATCACACCCAACTCTTTCTTTTCAGGTTTGGCTTTTTTCTGTAGAAAGAAAACAGAACACACACAAACTGCTATCAAGCAACCCATGTAAATATCTGTTTTATATCTGTCCATATTTTTGTTTTTCAATCTTTTCAAGCTTCTGTTTTTGACGGTAATCTTTACCTCGGTTGGTGGCTGTATCTTTTTCTTCGCCTCCATGTCCTTCTTCTGTTGGAACTTTTCCAGCTTTTCTCTCTTCTTTGCTTCCTTCTTTAGCTGAGCTTCTGTCTTTGGAGGACCTGAGGAAGAAAATGTCCCAGAAAAATCAGACGAATGTTTACAACAAAGAAAGAAATATCCATGAACTGTAGCACAGAGCCTCCTGACCATTAGCTGTGGCGTCAGCAGAGTCAGCAGCAGGACTGGCATTAGCAGTTTTAGCATCTGTAGCAGCGTTCGTCTTCGGTGTAACAGGCACCATTTTCTCACACAGAGTGATCTTCCCAAACACCTTTAGAAACTGTGGCTGATTAATGCAGGTTGTAAACCACCTGGTAACACTGGGCAAGACTTTCCTGTCTGGTGGCTCCAGGGCCTAAAAATAAGAAGAAAAATGTGATCACAATATGATTGGCTGATATCAGGCTAGGGGACAATAAGAACCTATGTAGGATAACCTGTAAAACAACAAGTTGTTGCACAACATACTTACATATTTGAAAGGTAGAAGAACAGCTGTAGCTACAGCCATGTCAGCCAGGGTGAGACTCTCTCCCACCAGGAAGGTTCTTGGTTCCAGTGCCTGATTGAGAACCTTAAGAACACGAAGCAACTCTGCACGAGAGCTCTGCTGGAGCTGAGAATGCACGAGTCAAACAGTCTCATCAAAACATCATACAAATGTCTATGACCCCATTCAGACCATCTGTCCTGAGTGATATGATCACAAGTGCTTATTGTTTTAACTGTGTGACGAATAATCTGTCCGGGGCCACATATGAAGATGAATGAGAAGTAATCTTTTCTTTTTTTTTTACTTTTCTTATAGCTAATAACAGCCAGCACAACATCAACACCGACACTCACATATTGATTGATACCTCTCTTAAATTGGTAAAAGATTTCTTTACACCACAGCTGCATGAAAATTATTTTAACTCCTCCTGACTCCACTCACTCACTCACTCACTCACTCACACACACACACTCACACACACACACACACTCTCTCTCTCTCACACACACGCACACGCACACACTTTGATACCAGATGTGACGAGCCACTTGTGATGGGATCTCTCAGGACAGATGTTTGTACCAGGTCTGATCAGGTTCACATTAAGAATGTGGATACTCCTCTCACCTTCTTATCCATTGCCATCATCCCCATCAGTGGGAAGACCACAGCACAGGACACAGGAGTGAGCTCATTGTCTGCGAAGCTGAGCCACTGCCACACCTCGCTCTGTTGTTTGGTATCTACACCGGCTCTCTTACCCAGAGATGCCAGGTACCAGGCCACAGCACTGGCCCCGCTCAGGACAGCGTCACCCTCCCCAGCTCCCGTTACCAGGGCCGGTCTGGAGCGGGCATTCAGGGACGCAGGAGGGTCCTCTGTGATGGTCCGAGGGCAAGAGGTTGGACAAAACTCTGCAGCCAGGAGGGCCAGAAGGCTCCTGAAGTCATCGGGGTGAGGGGACACATAGAGAGTGGCCATCTCTGGTGGAGAAACAGAAAGGATTGTAATGGTAAACACTGATTCTGACCCGAGCTCAGTTAATTTTCTTTGTGCTGCCAGCTATACAAAACAAATATGCCTGGCATTTTAGTACAGACATGGTGGAGAGGGTGTGTTCGTGTTGTTTAAACGCTCCAAACTGGTTATTTTGTTATTTCAGGCAACGTCAGAGAAGGTTGTTAGATGTGTAAACAAAGTGATGTGAACGTATTGCATAGAAAAGAACGTATTACAAAAAACCCTAAACACCATCGTTTCACAGTGTCAGACGGTGGATGGTTGGTTTCCGTCAACTGTCAAAGCCTGAGGAGAAGTAGTCCCAGGCTAGTTAGCTTAAGCTAATGATACTAACTAAACCCCAACTTTGGTGCAAACCATGAGCTCAAAGCGTCTTTACGCACAAAGTCTTCGCTTCAAAGTTCTCCTAGGGACCAATGTTTAAAATAATATGGGGCTTGTTATTCAAAATGATCCTAATCTGTCCTCCTACCTTTGAATGAACCAGAGACAGACGTCAGTTGAAGTTAGCAGACACGACAGAGCCACATGAGTCCTCTCTCCGCCTCCTTGCGTCTGATGCAAGAAACGACTTCCGGGTTTCATCCGCTACTTCCGTCAACAAACGGAAGTCTGTTCAAGTTTTATTATTTTAAATTATAAAATAACAACATCAACATGTGGCGGGAAAAAAGGAATACAGCCTTTATTTTTGTGTCATTAACAAAATATAATCAAATATCCGTCAATTCAGAAGATAAAATAATGTATTGTGCAGAAAGACACTTATCATATTGACTATACTGTTGCACAATTATTAATATGGAATTAATGATAGTATGTTGAGTATGTAAAAGCTGATTGTGGCTGTTTAAACTAGTCTCCAGTGTTTGTCTCATTTACAAAAATACTCTATATCATAGGATATACATTTTGCACCTAAAAGAGTTGCATAAATAGAAATACTCATACAAGTACATCACATTTTTAATTTCAGATAATCACATGGTTTACATAAGCAAAAGACGCAATATAACTTTACACATCTTTATACATCTGGCTGAGTCCTTCTCAGCCAGATGTATAAAGATGGTATTTATATCAATACATGTATAAGTATTTGTGGTGAAGATAAATAACCACACATTTGTTATAGTCTTGTATCATTGTATTATATTAGCTTTAATTGTTGTACTTCACTTGAGCTGGAGCTTATTTTAACTACATTAGATTCTTTTTGGTAGTTTAATGTGAAACAAGATGTCATATTTTCTAAACTGATGGTGTAAATGAGCATAGTAACTAGTAACTAAAGTCAAAACAAAACAAACAAATAAATGTAGAACAGAAAAATACAGAATTTCAATCTGAAATGTGAGTAATTGTAGATATACACAGTAGTTACATTCAAGTCCCAAATCAGAGAAAGATACCAATGAATAGACAAAGATGAAATGATGTATGTTACTCTGGCAAACCAGCCATTACTTTTATTCAAATGTACACATGCAACAAGTATCATACAAGAATCGTCCTGAACAATTACATCCAAAAGAACAGTGTGCACAGTGTGTTTACAGTTCACATGTGGTAATCCATCTATAACAACTAAGGCATCAGAGGACATCAAGAACTATTACTTTTGTGCTGCAGAAATTTACAAACCAAACCTGAAGAAAACTTATGAAAAGGTTTATTCCTGATGGTCTCATCTTCTTTCCTCCTTCACTCTGACTCCTGCCCAAACCCCTCTCTCACTGCACCAATGAGCATATCCATAATCCCCATAACGAAACCCCCTCCCAGCCTAAAAATATTAAACACTCCGTTTCCACTTCTCCATGTCAGCCTCCCCAACCCTCCACCTACAGCTTTGGCTTGACCGCCCATCTCTGATGCCACTGTGCCCACATAACCCTCGCTCTGCTCCCACAGCCGCCCTCCAAAGAACTTAGTCACCCACCAAGCATTATCCACCACGTCGCCAACTACCCCCACCGTGTCCCCGGCCAGGGTCCCCATGCCTGTGACGCCAGTGTGGCAGTGACAGTACAGGGCTCCCAGCATGGATGACGCGCAGCAGTAGACACTGTAGACACAAGTTCCCCCAACACCGAGCAGCAGATCGGCAGCCGAGCCCATCCAGGACAAGAGGTCAGAGGTCACAAGGTGGAGCAGGGAGAAGGTGTCTCCGGGCAACGCAGAGAGAACCCCGAGGTCCTCCTGAAGAACATAGGTCACCTGAATCGAGATAGAGCAAGTGTTATTTTTTACAAGTGAGATAAAAAGCAGTGAATAATGAAATGGCAAAAATACCTGAGGGAGTTTCATGAACTACGAGTTACACCTGTTTCTGACCAGACCTCATTCCTGACTGCTCTAACCACAGACTGAGGAAATTTGACTAAATGACTCTGAAACTAATAACAAGCTAACTTCTCTGCTTTTTCTTTCATGAACTCTTACAAAAAATATTCCTTGGTTATCTCTAAGGAATGAATGAAAAACAAATGTCTTGTCTTTGCAAACTTTTCCCTCTTTTCACCTACATCATAATCAATTGTTATCCTTGTTATCCATTATTTTGTATTTATGAAGTAAATTTAATAACCAAGTATTATGCAGGTGGGAAGTTGGAAGTTGGTTCAACTGTTTTTTTTCAAACAGTGTGGGGTATAAAAAGGTACATCTCAATATTTTTAAACTAAATAACTTGAGTACGAGTTCAAGTTTAAACAAAGTTTCTAAAAAGTTCAGTAAAATGTATCACCTGTCCAGGTAACTTTGTGACTGTGGAGATAACAGGGTACAGCGGAGCTTTGATAATGGACATGGTGGTGGAGAGGATGTAGACCAGAGTGCTGGTGGAATTTGTGTCTGTCTCCTGATCGTCCACAGTCTCATGGTCTGCTGAAGACTCAGGAGACTCTGATGTGACAGCTCCTGAACGCCTCACATCACCGTGCTCTTCCCTGCTGCTCGCTGATTCCACTGCATCTGCTGAGGTTTCCTGTGCAACTTCACCAGCTTCCTCTGCCTGAACAACTGGATTATTCTCAGCTTCAGTGTCTTGTCCATTTGTCTCAGCTTCAGTATATTGTCCATTTGTCCCAGTTTCAGTGTCTCTTCCATTTGTCGCAGTTTCAGTGTCTTGTCCATTTGTCTCAGTTTCAGTGTTTTGTCCATTCGTCTCAGTTTCAGTGTTTTGTCCATTTGTCTCAGCTTCAGTGTCTTGAGGATAAGTCTCCCCTTCAGTGTCTGGACCAGCTGTGTCTGAATCCACATCTGTGTCTCCCGTCTCTTCGCCAGGAGCATCTACATCCATCTTCTCTACATTTTCAGGATTCCCCTCACCCAGAAGACCCACAAGAATTCCAGCAGTCTCCACATATGCTCCTCCACAGCCTTCAGAGAACATTTCTTCCACTCCCAGCATCTCCTCCAGCTCCTTCATGCTCACTTGTCTGTCCCCTCCTTCTGTCTCTCTGATTAACCCCACGCTGAAGCCACCCTTCCCCTCTGGGACAGCGCAGCACACTGCAGACCACAGTGGCCCCATCTGACACTCCTCATCTCCATCTTCAGCCGCCCTGAGACCCCCCGCCCCGGTCAGGATGTAGAGATCTCCCTCTAAAGTGCTGCACAGAGGACTGATGCTTGACTGAACCAGTGTTGTGACCGTTGAGTCCCAGTGTTGCAGAGGGGAGTCTGAGGGTGAGACGGGATGAGATGGATCCCCTCCTCCTCTGAGGAGAATTGGTGCTGCTGCTTTAATGTTGTTTTCCTCTTCTGACTGGAAGAAAAAACCATTACAACTAATTAACAAGGTGTGAGTGCAAATGTCCACTAGTTATAATTCATGATATTACCTTTGAGATTTATGAACCAGTATTTTCAAATAAGAATCCACACATTTTATTTAATCAATTAATTTTAACTGTAGCATAAGTGAAACTATGTAAAATTGCTGATGTTGCAGATAATTATGCAGGGATTTCAAATGTTTAAGTTTGCCAAAGGCAGAGCTGATGTATGTAATGTTAATTCCAGTGGTGGAAGCGGTAATGGAGGTTTCAGTAAAAGTACCCATGCAACAGCCAAAACACACAACACACTCTACCTGCATTCAAAATCTTGACTGAAGATATCATTCATAAAAGGACTTAAAATATCAAGTAAAATAACTTTGGAGGAGCCACTTTCAGTCACTTTATCTTACATTTAGGCAGTTAATGGTGCCACGGTGCCCAACTAAGGAGTGGGCCAGGAGTCAAAAAGGCCACATGTACTTCAAATACTGTTCTTCATTCCTCAAATTCCATTATTCGAAAAGACATTGTACCACTTTAAATGTGTTCTTACCAGGAGCTCTTCGCCCTCCTCTTCCTCTGTCCATCCGTGCCTGAGATGGAAGGCAGAGTAGACAGCTGTGTCACAGGCTGGTTTGGACAGAGTGGCGAACGCTTGTCCCCTGGGCAGTCTGTGGCAGACTGGGTGCAGCAGCGGCCCCGCAGAGGCTCCCAGAGGAGGTGTCTGTCTGTAGAAGCAGTCGCTGCAAAGGGTGAAACCCTGCTCTGCATTGTCCTCAGCTGAAAGAGACAGGCCCGGGCCCAGCACTGCCAGCAGCCAGACAGCAGCTGCACTGACAGCAGCAGGACACAGCATGGTGGTGGTGAGCTCAGCAAATCCCCCCCTCTCTCTCTGACACACACAATAACACAGAGCAAGTGGGAGAGGCTTATAAATTATCCAGCGATTTCCGCATATAGATGGGAAAGATAAGGTGGCCAAGGTTGGCTGCTGGTCTCTTGTTGTTTTCTTCACTCGCTCCCTGCTCTCTCCTCCAGTTTGTCTCCAGCCATGTCTGTCTTCTTCTAATGTCAGCTGTTCTCTGTGTTGCAGGCACTATCTTGCTTACTAGTTCATTTCCTTTTCCCTGACAACTTCACCCCCCTTCTGTCAGTTCCACCCTCTTTGACTCTCCCTCTTGCTGTACCTCCACTTCACCCCTCCCTCATACTCTCTCTATGGCTACACCTTTATATCCCCTTGCTGTTAGGTACACAAGCCAAGCCAACACCTACTAAAAGCTGTCAAGTACCTGTAGGTCTGCATTCCCAAACAATGGTTTCTATACAAAGCTAGTCACTCGATTAACAAGTTCCTGTTGTCCATTATCCATTATGCTAAAACATAAATGAAAGTGCTGACTGTTTTAAGTCAAAGAGCTGGTTAGAAACACTTCAAAACAAGCAGAAGCTCTAACTTATTCCTCCAGAGAAAATGTGAACAACTGAGCTCTGAAATGAACAATGTCTGTTCAGGAAACCCTCCTTAAAGCCTAATCCTGACAGTGTCACAGTCACGGGTCACATGGTGCTGTGATCCCTGAAATCTGACTTCCCACACAAAATGCACTGCCTTTCACTGCAGCTCATCTTCCTCAATCAGAAACACTCCTGTTGGGACATGATGTTGGCACTAACTGCTCTTTACAAAATGCTTATGTGACAAAAACAGCAGCTGGCATGTTATCCTGTAACCTGTTCCTGTGTACGAATGAACAGAAAAATAACCAGCACTCCTCTTTTCTGACATCTTGAAGAGGTGGAATCGAGCCAAGCTGAGTTCATGTTGCATCTGAGTTATGGCAGACATGAGCCAAACGTACCCCTGGGCTTGCATCCAGATTCCTTTGCAGGGATGTAAGCAAGCAAAGACAACCCTTTGCAAAAACCAACACGAGCCTAGTTTATATTCAAATGAATAAGAATTGTCAGTGCACACATCCTGCACACAATTCCCACAGACAAGTCAAGTGGTATGATTCAGAGACTGAAGCTCTGGTATGAGAGTGTTAGGGTGTGAAGCTCTTGGGTGGGGCATCCTGCCTTTTTATGAGATGTGTTTAATACTTTTTAATTTTAACGTTTATGATGGTGCAATGAGAAATACTTTGACACAAACACTGACCGAGCATTTTGTCAGAGGAATCTGTAACTGATACATTTTACATTAAATAAAAAAAAAACAGTCATCTAAAATGAGAACATCTGCATTTTATTCTCTGACATGCAGAAGTCCATGGGTGCAAAAATAGTATATTTTCATTAATAAGGATTTTATTTTTTTTTTTTACAATTTTAGGGGGGAAAAAAACGCAAAATTATAGCAACATCATGATATAGTCAAAATCATCAATATTATAGTTCAGATGAGAGATGTAAAAAAAAAAACTACCTGGACCAAGTGAAGACTCAGCATTTCTATCTCAATTACATAGTTATGTCATGGACTACTTTCCAGTCTGTGATGGAAGGTTGGACAAAGCAAGACAAATAACAGAAACACAATTCCTCTTGGAAGGACACACCTAGTTGCAATCATTGTTGTGCGTTGCTAGAATGTTTAGACAATAAATGGCCAGTTGGAAACAGAGTACATAATTATCCAATCATCATGGTGGTAACTCACAAACTGCATTTTTATCACATAATAAATTCTTGGCATAATATATAAAAAGTACATTTCTGCAGGAGATATTTTGGACAGCCACAATGCAGTGAAGCAAAAATCCACCAGAGGGAGCTTGGCTCACTTTTGAAAATGTGGGCTGCTGAAACCAGAAATACTTTCAGTCACATTCTGTCTTTTGCTCTTGCACACACACATAGAACTCCTCCATCTCCTGATTATAAATACACACACACACAGAAACACACACACTCAGACTCATTCATTAGGAATGTCAATGACTAACTCAGCCTCGTCTCCCTCCCCCCTGTCTTCATCTCCTCTGTCGCTGTCCAAATCACTCTCCCCCTCCTCTTCAGCTGCATCTCCGCTGAGCATCTGTCTGGGAACCCAGCTGAATGGGCTACTGGCTGTTGCAGGGGCCGCAGGGGCTGATGGGTAATTAGCTGCCATTGGGGCAACGACCTGCGGAGGGCAGAGTGAAGAAAAGGTGTTATGAGCGATAGAGAGAGGGATGGAGATATAAGGAAGGAAGGAGGGGTATGGATGGATGACTGCATCTCAGAGTAGTGAAGCATGCAGCGTGTATATGAAATTATAACGATACTGTCTACAGGGTCATTTCAGCAGGGTGACTCACTTGCCTAAAATTATTTTAATTTATTTATAATTTTTATTTATTAATTTTGACGACATGTTTGTCCTGAAATGTCAATGGTTTCAACACCTATCAGCAAAATTTAGAAAAATAGAACAAATACAGTTTTTTTATATAAGAAGAACATAAGAGCACATCCTTAAGACTTCTTTCTACATGGACGTACACTGTATGTATGAGCTACTGTAAATGATCTATTCTACCGTTTTCTGCAACTAGTGGAACATTTATACACATTATCTCAGAAGTAGAAAATATGTTTTTATTGTCATTATGATTATCTCTGAATATCCCATATTTCTGATCTCCTCTCTCACCTTCCCCGTAGGCTCTCTCTTGTTTTTTGGCGCCTTTGTTTTTCTCTCTTTCTTCATTCGTTCAGCTGGAGGAGCCAAATACTCTGGTGGGAAGGGCATCTGCCCAACACACATGCAGGCCCAAATTTGCCAAATGACCACATGTGCCCACAGGCAATTTACATGAAGGACACACACGCACACACACAAGAACAAAAAAACATAAACAAAAGAATGAACAATGCAAGGAAAGGGAAGCCATTACAGATATCAAATGAAAAAACTAAGGAAGAGATAAAACTGATTTATGAATAAGAATGACAAAACTATAAAATCATATAAATAATGCAGAATTATGTTTGCATCTGAGGAGGTGACAATGTATGCAGTGTTACTTTAATATAATGATATTTTATGATATACAAAAGAAGGCTGGGCACTCACAGTGTTGAGGTATGGTCCAGAGCCTGATGACTGCAGGGGATTAACACCAGCACGGGACAGCAGGGAGAGATGAGGGGACGATGAGGAAGGAAGACACGCCCCAGGACTGCTTCTCCGCCTGAAAAGAGAACATGAACATTTTGTTTGAACTTATTGTGTAAACAGCAAGAGCATTATTTTTCTCAAAATGTGGTCCAGGGCAGGGTCTTCATGGTCAGCAAATAGAAGAGAGAGCCCCACATGAAAATTCTAGTGGCCTCAAACACAGAGACTTATTTGTTTAGATTTAACTTTGAATTGCTTGTATTGAATTATGACCCAGATCTCTTCAGTGATTATAGCAAACTATTTTACAGGAGCCTGACTAATATGAACTTTTGTGGGCGTCAAATTCTGATACCTGTGTGTCTGTGATGTTTAGATTTTTATCAGTCAAACGATAAATCAGAAGGGCTGAAAAAAGTATCATCTTTTTACATAGAGATTAAAGACAAATATTGGATTTCTCTTACCTCCTTTACCAAGTCCCTTAAAAATTTAATATTTCTATGGTTTCTGTTTTGGCACTGTGATACATCTGACAGGATTATGTTTACTACAGTGAGTTTAAACAGACCAATCTACCAATATGCATTAAATGATTTATCATAAAAAGCGATGCAAAAAACACCTGAATGTTGTGTTCAAACACCCCACGTACTTTTTCACCCCGTCTCGCTCTCGTTCCCTCTCCCTCTCTCTTGGCCCTTCTGCATCACTGTTTTCTGAAGAAACTGTTGCCTCTGAATCTGAAACGTAAAAGGAAAAAAAACTGATCCTGCAGCGCAGTAGTGCGATACTCAGTAAAACAAGTATTAAAAGGAATATATATATATATATATATATATATATACTACACAAAATCTATCATGACACAATGAAATGATTTCACACCAACCTGAGGAGTCTTCATCTACCCTCTCATACTGCAGCAGTCTGTCCAGTAGGAAGCTAGAAAATTAGATTATCGTTAGCTGCTCTCGCACAATACGGTTGAACATCCATGCTTGTTTTATAAACACACAACATCAAGTCACCTCTTGTCTCTGGAAACTTTCAGGAGTTTTCTCTGAGCTCTCCTCAGCTCCTCCTGAAAACACTCCTGTTCCTGCAGCACGAAACCAAACAGATCAGAAAAGACTGGTGTGGTTTTTTTTAAAAAAGCTCAAAACGATGCTGGTGAACACACTCACATAAACCAGGAATTTTAATTTCCTCTTCAGATTTTTGTATTTCCGCTTGTAGTCAACTTCGACGTCCGCTTGGCCGTTCATTTCTGAAACACAGCAGACACACGGTGGGTCAGTTTGACAGCTGCAGTTGTACACGAGAACAATAAACATCTGTTTGTGGAGAAAAATCCCTCCGCATCACGACATGTGTGAGAACGAGCTGCATGCTAAACAAGCTAAGCTAAAGCTATACGTTAGCTTGCATCGCTAACCGGCTAAAGAAACAGAGCTGCTGGTCTCACATAGGGAAATAAACAGAGCTGTTTTAAATGTACAAACACGAAGTCGACTGATAACGAAGCTGCGAATGTTCATGAAAAACTCCGACACCTCTGGTTTGAGTTGGTCTGTGCGACATGCTCTTGTTTACTATCGTGACGTCAGTGCCATGCGACGCGATGGGCGGACCCTTGATTTAATCTGAGCTATAACGAAAAATATTATTTCGCAAGTAAACCTCAGCCCTTTTAAATTAACCTTCACTATTCTGCTCATTTATTTCATTTATGATTAAAGTCTCCCTTGCTTTTCATTTGTCTCCACAGCTGCACCTGTTCCTCATTTTGATCTCAGTGTTTGTAAGTTTGAAAATGCATCGATGATAAAGTGCAATGAAAAAACATTTATATATTTATTTTCATATACAAATAAGTTCAGAGAGAAACACGAAAGTAATATTTTCTGATGTGTTTTTTTGATGTGAGGTTTAATTGGTGTAGTAATTTGATATAAACAATAAAAAGAGTTTTTGGCAATGACAATCAGATCTGTTATATACTTTTTTCCCATATATTTATACTTTTATACATCTGTGATTGTAGCAGCCCAATTGGCTATTAATACTTGTGCATGAAGGTTGAATACTAATGCTGAACTTATCCGATGCAATTCTGTTTTTCTTCTCACCCACATACCAACATGCAAATGGAAATAAAACTTGAGAATATTGCTGTACTCTATCTCTTATGAAAACCTTAGGGTACTTCATTGGTGCGGGTAGAGTTTTAAAATCTCTTAAATGTTTTGCATTTTTAATGTTGCCATTTTCCCTGGACACAGCACTTTTGAATTTTTGGAAGAACCATGTTGAGTGTTTTTTCAGCACAGACAAAATGGGGTCTCTCCTCTCCAGCTTTTCAGAGATGACATCATATACCTCCTGATCGAGTTGAAGAAGGGGAAATTTCTGACACATCTGGACTGGCAGCTGCTCGAGGACAGTGATACGGGTATATGCACTAGCACAGCATGGGTTGAATATTAATGTTGCACTTATATGTACTGATTTTATAAGATTGTATAAAAAGGATTCCAGGAAACTAACACACAATTCACACATTTCAATATAATTGCAAACACTATGCATGCTTCTTCATGCAGTGGCCCTTTGTGTTTTATTGAATCATCCTGCCAGCGTTACCCTCCACCTGCCGCATACTGTGGTGCACTGAGTTTTCAGCTCAACCTTAGCTCAGCACAGTCACTTGTCAGGACCCAGCACTGTGAATTATAGATGAGGAACATTTGCAGAGATGAGTAATGCTGCCTCACTGCATGCACCCACACCCAGACCCCCTGTGTGTGTGTGTGTCTCTGTGTGCAAGGGGAGGGAGGAAGATGGGTAGAGACAAAGAAAGAGGTAGAGTTATTACAAAAAAAAACAGATTAGATAAGTGGGCAGACAAAAGGTTGTTTAAAAAAAGAAAGGAGAACTGTGCTGGGACGAAACCCTGCACAAGCTAAAGAGCAAGAAAAACGCAATTTCTGCAGAAAGTGCTGTGGGTTCGCTGGCATCTGAACAATGTGAAGCCAACCTTGCATTATAAACACAATCTGTGAGGGAAAAAAACATAAAATGTAAACTGCAATAATTCAAAAGTTGTAAAAGATTTCAAACAGCTGGATTAAACTTTACGAGCTGAAAATCGTATGACCCGTTTAAAGCTTACGTTTAAGTATGCTGATTTGAAAACTTCAAAAAAACATAGGACAAGATGGTGAATATCACCAGCACCAGCTATAATGATGAAGTTGCCAACCACAAGCAGATGTTAGGCAGACTTCATCAGTTTTGTACCTTAGAGTCATTGGGTGTTTTGGCCTTTTAATTCAGAGATAGGCCTGTTAGGGCAGGCCCACCGCAGGCTGATAAAACTTGGTCTCTCCTCCTGATCCGTAGTCTTTGGCTGCAGCGTTCTGTACTACATGATGTGTCTTTCATGGTTTGGAGCACGGCTTGTCTAGTCTGTGGATTAAAGCTCTTTTGACATTGAACAACCTGATTGTGGATGTTGCAGCCAAACCTCCCCTGGCTGAAGTAGTTGAGTGTCAAGGTGAATGTTTTAGGAGATTAAAACAAAAGTTGAATATTTTGGAAAGTATGAAATATATTAGAAAACTATCACAGCAGGTATTTAGCTTTGCTGCTCTGGCTCCTCTGACACCTCTAGACATCAAAGTGCAACCTTGCAAAGACAAACATCGATATACAGTCGGCAGCTATGTATAAATATGTATCGTCTCCCTTCCAGGCAAAACAACTGCTGATATGAAACACTATATCTGTCTGACTGTGTCTCTCCACTGCCAGATTCGTCTTTGTTTCCACAGACAGAAATAGACTCTTGTGTGTCCGCCCCGCAATAAATTGCTGCTGCCAGCCAGCGTCCAGCCAGCGAGTCCTCCTGGTACCTGCCTCCTTCTCACTGCTCCTCCTCTCTCCTCTACTTTTATGGATCCATATATTCACAAGTCAGATGATTACCGATCTGAGCTCGTCGATAGATTTGCTCTCCTTAATTTTATGCCTGGATGTTTGTCCTTGTGTCTCCTCACCCTCTTTCTCTTTCTCTCTCTCTGTGTCACTATGTTTTCTAGTCCTCTACTTTGTCCATCTCTTTTACTACCTCCATCACTTTAATTTCACTTCGTCAATAGTGTTTTTGATCGACTTTTTGCAGCAAACAGGGATGTTCCAAAACCACACCAAAGCCACTGAAAGCAATAACAATAAAAGTCTCCTCTGTGATCACAAGGTAGGTTTCAGGTTTTATGGTTTCCACCTGCTGCTGTGTGTAGGTCAACTGACACCAGATACTATACCAGATATAATATTTTTCTGTGTTTTTATTKCATAGACAAAGAAACTTTCAATCTGTAACGTTTCTGTTGCATGTGTTTTTTGTTACTCCAATTGTCTTCTCCTCTGTGTGTGTGTATGTTTATTACAGCAAAGACTTATACAGGCTATTAAAAGAATCAAGCATGAGGCAGATGAGTGCAGAGAGGCAGAGACAGAGACGTACATCGAGTCAGTGGAAGTAGAGGTATTGTTGCTGCATCATTATGTTATAGTAGCTCAAGTTTAACACAAAATAAAGATTCCTAATGATCCTGCTGAGGCCAATTTTGAAAATATTTTATTTAAACCTAAACTTTTTTAAATTACTGTCCTTCTTTCCATTTATCTTTCAGAGCAGGTTTGATGAACTGGAGCGAGAAATCAGAGCCGAGTTTAAGAACCTCCATCGCTTCCTGGACGAGGAGGAGTGTAAGGACCTGGAGCGAGTGAGGAGGGAGAGACAGAAACAGCTGAGGCAGCTGAAGGAGAGAGAGAAGAAAATAGCAGAGCAAGGGAAAGACCTGGAGAGAGCGATCATGGTGCTCAACTGCAAACTGGCTGAGGAGGACAGTGCCACACTGCTCAAAGTGAGGAAGGGAACATCCAGAGACAACATATCTAGTTTGTCTTACTGTCAATTTGAATATATTGAAACTATTCGGATGTGTAGATGGAGCAACATCTTATGACTTGCTCAAAGCAACTGAAAATCGATTTGACCCTGCACGTTTACCTTAAAGTGACCCACCCAGAGTGACCCTATTACTCTGCGGCCCTTCATTGGCACTCATTTGACCATTTATATGGGCATTGATTGACCGAACAGTTAACTTGACTGATTTTGCAAGTCAGAATCAATTTCTTGTTTAAAAGTGAAAGGACAAACAGCAGCCAGAGCATTAGTCAGCAAATAGGAACGGACAGCATGAAGCGTTCTGGCTGAGGCGACAGCTGGCAACAGAAGACGACTGTTTGTGTTAATGGAATGTCTCCTGAGGGTTTCACAACCGCAGTTTTAAAATGCTGTGTACTTTGTTTTATGATGATTGATGAGGATCAGTTCAAATCAATTTAAAGCAACTGTTTCTCTCATTACAGGAAATTCAAGATCTTATAAAAAGGTAGATTTCCTCAAAGTGTGTCTTTACCAAACTAATTTTAATTTTACTGTCTCCATTATTTCCCCCTAACTCATTACTTTGTATTTCCTCTTACTCCTGAGAGTTAATCCATCTCCATAATCGTCTCTGTTGTGTGTCTACAGGACGTATATCCTATCATCCCTCATTCAGTCCCATTGTCTCGTTTCATCCAAACAGGTCTCAGGTCAGCTTTGTTCCTCCAGAGGAAGTGGACACTGAGGTGCGCTCTGGTCAGTTAGTGGGGCCCATCCAGTACAGGATATGGAAGCATATGAAAAGCTGCCTCTACCCAAGTAGGTGTATATTCTGTATATGTCATCAGAACCGACATGGCTTATGCTAATCAACAGACCTCATTGTACTTAATCCCTGTTTGCCCGCAGATATTACATCAGTGACCTTTGACCCTGAGACAGCTCACCCTAATCTGTCCCTGTCCCAGTCTCGCACCTCAGTATGGTTCGAGGAAGATAAAGACACTACGGAGAGCCAGCCCAACCCACGACGGTTCCATTACTATTACTGTGTGCTGGGTCATCAGGTCTTCACCACAGGGCGGCACTACTGGGAGGTGGAGGTGGGTTGTAAGACAGCGTGGAGGCTGGGTGTAGCACAAGAAGATGTCCCAAGAGGGGAGATGGCCGCCACAGGCACCTCCAGCGGCTTCTGGACCCTGGCCCTGAAGGATGGATCCATCCTGGCCTGCACCGACCCAGAACCCACCAAAATCATCGTGTCTCTCCGTCTTGTTCGCATCGGAGTGTTCTTAGACTGTGAAAAGGAGGAGGTGTCTTTCTATAACGCTGTTACCATGGCACCAATCTACACCTTCACCATGGGAACGGTCATGGTGCCTCTGTTCCCCTTTTACAACCCGTGTGACACAGATAACGGAAAGAACACGGCTCCAATAGAGATTTTTAAACCTTCACTATGATAAAGAAGTTAACACTTGATTGAAGATGATTACTGGTCCTATACAAACTATTAATATTATATTACTAGAATCGTTATTACATTTGAGTCATTCTACAGCTCAATGACAAGTCACTTAATTGATAAGTTGATCGACAGGAACAGTTTTGATGATTATCTAATGATTGATGTCATTTTTCAACAAAAATGCTGTTTGAAGATTTTGTTTAGTTGTTGTTATTTTTGGGTGTTGACTGTTCTGTCAGACAAAGCAACAAAGCTCTGAAGGCATCAAAGTGGACTTTGGATTTTTTTCACCATTTTTTGACTTGACTTTAGATTTATGGTTTATGGTTATGTTTTCACCACTGAATACAGATCAGGATCAGGGGCTGGATCCATGATTTGTTTTCACTTTCTTTAACATTGTAAAGAGTATTTACAACATTTTCAATGAGAATAATTCATGGATCTGAAAAGAAAAGTCAGACATGTTTTTGGAACTACAATTTACGAGTGTGTCCAATTTGGGGCGGATCCAAATAAGATCTGGATCTAGTGAATTTAAATGTGGTTTTATAAGGAGACTGTTGGGCCTTGGCATACGAGTTAAAGAAAATGAAGCATGGGCGTACTTGTATAGGCGACCTTGAGCTTCAGGGTGCAGAGCAGGTGTGAACGGCATGATGTTACCTTTGACCTCTTTATAAATATCTTTGATGTGTCCACTCTGCTGTGACACGTCCCCACCATGTTATGTCGTTGGTAAGACCTGGGGTGTGAAAATGGCGCAGTGGCAAACGACGGCTGACACAGAGTTGAGATAACTGACTGAGATGGAGTTTGACAGATCTGAGACCAGACTGTCCTTCTGCGAGTCTGTCACTCCGAGACAACAAAGACAAGGGCACAGCAAACGTCACAATCTTTTGTTTATTCTTAGTATTCCTTTACACATGAAATAAAGAAAAAAAATATTTTCTATATTAAAACATCTGTGTGAAGGGTTGTGCAAAAAGGGAAGAGGAGAGAGAAGGTGAGGGACGTCACACTACACTCAGGCCGGGGACAGCAGAAGTAAACAGACGAGTCACATAGTGCAAGAGGGGAGAGTGGTATCAACAGTGGGTTATCAGAGGTGGGTATGAAACCTCTGTAGAATTCCTCTGGCACCTGTGAGATATAATCACTCCCACTATGACGGAGCTGTCTCTGAAATACTGGTAACATGAAAACCAAAGGCTCCTCCCACTGATGCACTATCCACCTCTCACCTCTCACATGCTGTGACAATCACTGACAATATTCTTTAGATGGCGGTGGAACATAAAGATGCTGCTCCATGACACCACCCTCAGGGATCCTCATACAAAGCGTTTTCATTCGTCTGCTGTGACCAAGAATTCACTCCCACAGTCTGAACTGTGCCACAGGCTTGATCAACGCAAGACACCCTCGCTCACACCTCAGCGTTCATTAAGCTACACGCCAAACTTGAAAAATCTGACTTTCAACAACTTTCATACAACACGTCACTTATCTCCGGCACATTAGGCCAATGTGTGCTGTCACTTTATTCAGTCGGGTGTGAAAACAGCGTCCTACATCTGTGGATACTCTACCAATAAGAAAAACAGTGTCGACTAGTGACAGAGAACAGACCGACTGTCCAATAGGCACTAAATAAAACGAGAACCACTCAATTATCTCAAAGTTACGATAGGCTATCTTTTGCATTTTTTTGTGAGTGCTTTGTGGTTTTAAACACATTCACACTCGTGTTTCAACACAGTGCGACATGACTTAAGCAGGCACATGAATAACCGTACTCACAACACACGGAGAAGCTCACACAAGGGCGGTAGTTCTGTACAAACATCACACACACGGTCATAAATCATTCACGCTCATACTGTAGATACGTGCATCATAATCAAACACACACTAAATCCTCAACGCACAATGATGGCAATATTAAAACATCACTCCTCTGATCACACAGAAACAAGTTTAGGACGATAAAAGCCTGTTGTTCAGGTCTTGTTGTGGTCATGCTGCAGTCAGTGCTTTAAGTGATACAGGTTAAATGTTTTAATACAACATGTTAATACTGTGGAAGATACTGTAAGCTGTCTGGTTGGACTGGTGATAATAGCAGATAATTCATCTAAAAAGATCTAATATAGGTTCGATGGTTTCATTTTTTACAAGATTTGGCTCTTCAAAATTAGTTCAATATGTTAGTGA